AATTTTATAAAGATAAAAATAACTTATGTAGAATCTTGAATTAAATTTTCAAAAATAGTGATTCATTAAATATTTTCATTTTTAACAATTGTATAAAATACAAAACTCAAAAATTTCTTATTTTTAAAATAAATAGCTCAAAGTGTCAAAATCATTATATAGAAAATGATAAAACAAAAAAATTTAAGAGAACCTCAAGCATTTATAGTACTTCACTTTTAAAATTTAAAGAAACTAATTTTGTCAAAAACAGATTTAGCATAAATTCTAATTTATCCTTAGTTTTTTGTTTTTCGTGATTAATAAAAATTTCCTGTGATTTGTATTTAATTTTTTACACTTGAAAGCACCAATTACATCCTATTTATTATAAAAAACTACTATTAAAGTTAAAAATTAAACTATTTTTACTGTTTCAAAAAGAAACACATCATTAAATTTAATAAATTTATTGCGACTCGCTCAGAATTTAAAACAAAAATTACTTACAATTAGAATCTTCAGAAATGCTTTGTTTTAATTCTGTCGTACCAATTTCTTCTTTATCTTCATCAAAATTATTTGTTGACTGGATTATATTAACTATAAGTAAAAATAAATGTAAATATTGAATAAATTTAGACTAAAATTATAATTTTGATAAAATTCTTTTACTTGAATCATCTTTAGATGATGTTGTGTTTTTATCAGACACATCCAAAACTTTAGATTCATCTAAGAAAAAAAAATAGATAATTAATAAAATTAAATTTAGCTTCTAGAAAAATATAAATGTAATATGTTAGATTTATAATAAAGTAATACATAATTTTTATGTTAGTTTTTAAAAAATTAATAACAATGGAAATTAAATTTTACCAAATAATTTATTATTGTAGTTACTAGCGACTAGCTATTAAGTTAATAAAATAATTATAACTCTACTGAACTTGAAAATCCAACAAGGTTTATTAGATCAATGTAATGACTGATTATTTGATATCAGATATTAAAATTTATTTAGAAAACATTTCAAGTTTAACTTATGTACAATGAACATTATTAAAAGTATAATGTATTGTTGATTTTTTTCTCTATTATTATTTTTAATAGATAGACTAAGGAACTTTGAATTTTGTTAAAATTATTTATCAGAAAATATCTTAAAATAAACAATTTTTAATTTTGCTAATTTTTACTAAACACTTTAAAATATTTAATAATAATACAACTCTGACCAAAGTATATGAGTAGTAACTTACATAAGTTTAACATATGGTAGTTTAAACATCTCATCAAAATTAAATAAATTTGATATAAATAATACTAATAATAAATGAAAAATAGTAAAACATAATTAATTAATACTTGCCACTTTTTTTATCTTCATCTGGCTCAAAACAAGATTGGCTGAAAGATGTAAAATACAATTAAATTTAATTAATTAATATTTATATATATATATATATATACATAAAGATAGGTAAAAGAGTGCTGTTTTGCTGTACATAAAGTGTTGATTGGGTCACTATTATAGGTGTGTTAAATTTGAATTCAGTGATATAAGTATCAATGTATAAAAGAAATGAGATAAACAGTTTATATTATAAAATATTTTTCATATGCATCGCTATTAAAGTAATTTATTGTAGTTTCAACCTTATAGTAGGTTGATGAAACTTTTTCTAAAAATTCTGCATTTATTATATTATTAGTTTTTAATAATAATAATAGTATATATTTTTACCATATTATGTCAACTTTTATAAGTAACTCAAAATTTAATAACATCTCAGTACAGACATTCTCAAACTTTTCAGATCAGGCCCCTTTTGGTCAACCCCAGATCAGAGCTCCCCCTCATAAAAATAATTTTAATAGTCATGTTTAGAGTAACAAAAAGTTAAAAACAAACAACAAATATAGGCTAATATTGATATTAATATTACAAATTTATTTTAAAATAAAATGTATTTTTTACAAAAAATTTTAATTAATTACCCAATTTTATTATTATTACGGACATTTCACAAATTTTTTTCTGTCCTACTAATGCAATGTTGATTTTTAAAATTTTCTTGCACCCCATACTTTGAGAATCTCTGTCTTAGAATAAATCAAAAATATCATTGTGTATAGTTAAATTTATAATATTATAATATATATAAAAGTTACCATGAATGTTTTTAAATTATAACAAAATAATCTTGAAAATTATCAACATAATTTTAAAATAAGTAATTTTAACCAAATTTGAATTTCAAATACATACAAAAAAATTATACTTATGTATTTTTAATAATTTCATAAAGATATTCTAGAAAAAAATGTTGACCCAATAAATATTTTTATACAGACAATAAAAAAAAAAAATTGAATTAATCATACCTATAAATAACTTAAAAAAATTTAAATTTCATGAAAATTTTAATACACAACAAAAATGATAATATAACATCTAATAATTTCAAGTATCTACATTTGTTTTTGTAACCCTAAAACAATAAAATTGAACATGAGTTAGTTTTTTTCCAATTTCTTTCTTTATAAATGGGAAGTTATTCAATATTTACTTTCGACCCCTCTTCCCCCTGTATAAAAACTAAATCCAATTAGTTACCAGAAATCATTGTCATTTTTAAAAATACATCATTGTAAAATCAATACATTTATTGATCTACTTAGAATCTAAAATATTAAGGGTTTTAGTATATTGATGATGTAGTAATTGCTAATGAACTTTATATGTTTAAATATGGGTACTAATAAAATACAAGTTGAATCTATAAAAAAAATAAATAAGGTTGTTTAAGTCATACAAAATAAGGTGTTAATTAATTTAATTAAAATATATAATTAACAAAAACAATTTAAATAATTGTACATGTTATATATATATTTCTTACCTTAATTCAAAATCAGAAGGTAAAACAGTACGACGTGGTAATCTGTTATATCTATTTAGTTGACTTTCAGTCACTGGACCAAAACATACAACACCATCATCATATTCATTTGTAATTAAACTGAGGTTATTTGAATCCATCCTGAAAGAAATTAATAATTCAATTATTATATAACAAACTATTTTTATAATATTAATTAATCAAATTTTCAGTATCTACCTACCTAAAGTTCTAGTTTATAAACATGCTTTATTTACTTCACCTTTAGTTATTCTTATTTATATACCCAAAAAGGTGCCATCTAAATTATGGTGAAAATTATCAATTAATACCTATTAATATAATTAATTTAAAAAAAGATCCACGATAACAGATTAATATATTTATTAGGAACTTAAATAGGATAATATAAATTAACAACCAATAATAAACATATAATTTGTTGAACTAAAATTTGTATTATAATTTATTAATAGATTTATAACATTTGTTTTGAGACGACAGTATCTTTTAATAGATCATAAATATAGATGAAAAGAATTCTTATTTAACTAGGTATTATAATACTATGAAATACGAGTCTTATGAATGTTAAAATTATGAGGATATTATAATGTGAATTACCTAATGGTAATTAATAATAATTACAAAGACCAAAAATGTCTAAATAACAATTTGGTTATAAGGTATATCTTTAATGGGTATTATAGCCAGTTAGGTTAAGTTATCAACAAACTTGGTGATGAGAAGTCATAAGAAAAAATCTATTATGTTTAATAAGATAAACATATATAATATACTTTGAAACACAATTTAGCATTATTTTTATAAGTATAAATAATTTCTCCCATAACTTCATTATAAGCTATTCAAAATCTACATCTCTTAAAAATAAATGTATGATACCATTTATATTATTATCAGTTGAAATCTTAACCTTAGAAAAACTCTTAGGAAATTTTCCCTATAAAATACCAACAAATAAAATAAAAATAGCAATATCAATTTATAGATAAACTGCATAGTTTTATCTTTTAACCAACATTTTGTAGATTAATAACATTATATCTTGAAATCTAGAAATTAAATTAGTTTTACACATAGATTATATATATATATATGTATATATTATTGTGTTGATTTTTTTTTAAACAAAGAAGCGAATTTCCCACTTATGTCTCTTTATTATTTTCTTCAACAAATTTCTTATTGTACACATAGTATATTTTGTACATAAAGTACCTAAATTACCATTTTTAAATAAAAAGTAGATTAGGTTATTTTTGTGGCTTTTTTCCCAATTTTAAATACCTATATTTACAACGGTATTTTTTAAGAATAAAAAAATTTTAATAATAAAGCATATCAATAAAATACTCTATACTACTTTTTTCTTTAAAAATAATATATGTCTACATTTTTAATTGAAGACTAGACTTCTTCTAATAAATATATATTCATACGACTTAGTTATAAATTATAATAAAATCGTCTAAAAAAACTATAATGAATATTTATTTTTAATTGTACAAGAGTATAGAGTAGGTAGTACTAACCTGAATTTTCAAGATCAGTAGAGACGAAAAAAGTATTTATTCGTCGCGGACTTAGTAATCGAGACCGGAAGAACTTTTATAGTAAATGTAACGTAAAAAGATTAAAACAGAAACGTCAAACGTATAAGGGATCGAATTCTAAGTATTGATATGAATAACGAATCTAAACACTCTTAATATACTGACAGACTTACACCAACTATTAACTAATGTAAAAACTAAAAATTTAAAGTTACTGAACGACGACGCACACAACGAATTAAGTTTAAAACTGGATAACGTATATTTGAGACATTACGCTTACGCTACTACGCACTACGACTACGCAAATAATTCGACAAGACAAACATTTGTCGGTTTTGAATCGAGTTTTTTCCGTTAATATCAGTATGGCCGTTATTCAAAAATATATTTTAAACGCAACGCGCATGCGCTATTTTGAACTTAGACGACGGTCACGCTATTGTGGATGGATTACGATTCACGAGTATGAAGTGAGTAACGTGACCGGCAATACATTCGTAACGCTTTCGTAACTAGGTACATATACTTCGCCAGATTCACATGTCTTCACTCTTTATGTCATATCCGTACGCGGAGCCACGGATTCCCTTTCGCCTTTTACCGCTCTACATATGTTGTCCACGTTGCCTGGACGTTGCGAATTTGCGATCGAAGCGGTCATTGATCGATTACCGAAATTGACGTATAATTTGTCCAAGATTGAGTGTTCTGATTATTAGTCAATTATAAGGACTGTATGTATTTTTCCCTTCTGAAGTCTGAATTTGTGTGTGATGGACGACGAAATAATAGATGTGATCACCGAATGTAGTTTCGATTATTTGGAATCCTTGTATGAACCGTGGAACAAGATCAACTCAACGTAAGCAATAATTGCGATCTCATGGTCGTCTAAAAATTAAAATGTCTTAATAGGTTATTATTAATAAGACAATGTGTAATGGATTATCCCTAGGTCATATAACCCAATTAGTCCTCAATGGTTGATTCAACTAGCAGACGATTGGAACTCTGAACATGTAAGTGTTCTTATGTGGATAACATTATTATAATACTAAAATGGTGGTCTGTATTATCTCTAATTCTATGTTGTAGAGTGTACGCAAGGATGATTCAAGGAAATTGAAAAAACGTTTGTCTGAAGATGTCTGCGATGAATCAAAATACCGCGAAATTCTCAATAAATACAAAGAGAATGATGTATTTGTTCTACCAAATGGCGAAGAAATAGTTAGAGTTCGTAATGATTCCAGCTCTGAATCAGAAATCGATATTATGGATGGTGAAACTAATAATAATATTGACGATTGGCATTCGGTTGTATCACATGATTTCACTAGAGATATTGAGCACATACCACCGCCCACACAAGAAAGACATCTAGATAGTAACATTATAACTGCAGATGAAAGATTTTATCATCCTAACTTGTTTGGAAAAAAAGATGATAAAAAATATTTAAAAGTAATTTAATAATCTAATAATTCATCTGTATTGTAAAATTATGGCATTTCTTTTTTTAAAATTCATCTTTTTTATTTTACATAGGTAAGGAATACTATTTTAGAATTATGGAAAACAAATAAGCCATGTTATGTATCAAAATCATATGCTAAACAAAAAATGAAAAAGTGTGGTACAGCAAAAGAAATTGGCCAGGTTCATTCTTATCTTGAACATAGAGGATACATTAATTTTGGATGTGGTAAGTAATTGATCATAGTATAGTACAATTTTAATTACAACATTTTTTTTCTTTTAGATGAATGTAAATATCATAAAAATATAAAAAAAGAATTAGTTAAAGCTAGAATATTGAAAACTCAATATAATTTAAAGCCACCTTTACTTCATGGAAAAAATAAGTCTTTTAAAAAAGTAAGTATTCCTAATATTTCTATAAATAGGTAAATTCTTATGATTATGGTATATACTATATACCAAAAAATATATTTATAAAAAAATGTTTGTATTGCTTGTTTAAAATAATAATTTATAATGTATTATGTTTCAGATAAAAGCAATGGGTGGTTACACAATATGTCACGATAAAACTTCATCACAGTGGGAGCATAGCTATTCAGTTCCCAAAAAAAACAAACGTTAATTAAAACATTGATATTATAGAAAAGCATTTTGGCTGTGAATGGGTTACATTTTGGTAATTATTCAATAATTATTAATGTATTAGTTTTATTTTTTAAATATTGTCTTTTTAAGAACTAACTAAGGCAATCAAATGCAATTATAATTTTCATTATTTATTAATACACACTTAACATATCTAAACTGTGTATGTAAATTGAATAAATATCAATAATAGTGACCCATATTCTAAACTTATATTGTAAATAGCTTATAAGTTATAACTCATTTAACCTGATTGCTATAATCATTGACTATTTTTTATTATTATTGAACCATTTTTAAACTGAATATTTATGAACTGGTATGCTATAAGATAATTGATTGTATTTATGTAATGATTATTATTAAATATTACATATTAGTTAAAAAAAACTACTATTTTTATTTTAATACGTGTAGTTTTTAACTATGTTTGAATTGTACGTCATTGTTGATATAACAATAAAAAACTGTATTTTTTAATAATTAATTATGTTAGATAGTGTTTCTATAAATAAAGTTTTTTTATTTAACATACAGTTTATTGTTATACTGTTAAATGAAAACCATTACCAGTTAATTTAATAACAGCCACTTGGAAAATTAAAATATGAATAACTGTGTCCAGTGTCCACACTAGCTAAAATTTAAATTGTGTGCCTAATGAAGTATTTCCTGCAAATATTTTTGCTGTGCGCCCTTAATAAATACGTGCTTATTAATCATATTCTGGTATTTCTGCCACCCAGGGGCATAGATAGGGTTTTAGGTTTAGGTATATATCAGGGATGGTATAGCAAAAAAAGGTCATACAAAATATATTAACTGAATAATTGAATGAAAATCAATGAGGGGGATTTGAACCCCTTAGCCCCATGTAGCTATAGCCCTACTACCATCTGTTTATAATGTTTTAATTTAAAGATTATTTACAATCTGTATACAAATTATTACAAAGACAAATTTGAAATTTGCAATAAGATTAAAATAATATAAATAATGTGTTGAGGAAGAAACCCATTGATTATAGAATAGTCTATTCTATGATCAATGGTAACATTAATGTTTATACGTACAATCATGACATTAATTTAACAATACTCCAAATATTAATATTAATAAAAATTAATTTGAACAAAAGAAAGTATTTTTATTTGTAAACACAAAAAACAGTATTATAGGACTCCAAGGATAAATGACATTTTAATAAAAAAAATGATGCTTGGAATTAAATTGCAAAATACAAGAACATTGATGTAGAAGACTTTTAAAAATATATATATAAAGCCTTCTAGGTTTATTAGAAAGAATAAAGGTAATGGAATAAATTCATTAATTTAAACTAGATTCACATATTTTGTGATTATTTAGACATGAAAATAATATACAAATTTAATTAGTTGCATCAAAAATTTTGCATTCTTCATAGATAAAGACAACCCAAGAAAAACATTGAGCTCAGTAAACATAAATATAAGTGTATAAAACTTAACTAGATAAACACATTTTTAACTATAAATCTAATATATTAACATATAATTATAAAATTGTAACACCAATACAAACAAACATTTAAAATTTGTCAACTAGTTGTAGGAAAATTGTAAAGTTAATTAACTAAAGCAATTGGTTTTAATATATTTAAAAAAATAATGTTCAAACATATTCATTTTTCATGATAAAGTTTCTATTGTGAAATAATCAGGCTAACTCTTTCCTAATATATTTTGCACTGACACTTGCTCTACATGAAACATTTCTTATATTGATAAGGCAATCCAAATTCTGTATTTTTTTTTCTTTGCCTCTATTCTTTTAAATTGGCTTATTCTTCCGAATCTAAAACTAAAAACTCCATCTGAAGAATAAATATTTTGAGAAGTCTTACTATTTTTAAAATAATTGTGTAAGTATACTATCAATAATTGTAACTATAACTTATACTATATTAGGTTACAAAAGGAAAGGTTTTCTTTAAACCCTAAAAGTAGATGAAATAAAATAACACTAAAAGTATAGTCTACTACTCTATGAGCTCTTTCAAGTATGGTTTCATAATATTTTCAGCGAGTGAAAAAACAACATCATCTATAAATAAGTATCACTTAACCTTCCAAGGGCAAATTTTGCTGGGGCCAAGTTCAGTGTCTGGAGTGTAATCTCCTGATAAAGTTCAGTTTTGAAAAACACCTCTATCCAAAAACATTCCCTGGTATTTAATATCAACAAATAGGTAATAAAAAATTGTTATTTACCAGATCGAATAACACTATTTTAAAAGTCATTGTAGTTGTACTATTCACTATCATTTTTAATGGGTGCCTGAGAGATTAAGGATTTTCCATTCTTGGAATCAAAATAATTTGTGAAATCCCAAAGTATCTCAAAAACTTTTGCAATAGTTAACCATTATTCAGTTGTTTTCGGCATCTAAAACTGATTATTGTGCTATTATTTTTATTATTATACTAATAATAACATTAAGATGATTATAATAATAACATTTGACAATAGATAAATATTTGATATTGCTATCCTTTTTTTTTTAAATCAACTGTTTATTTCTCATTTTAGGTTAACATTGTTGAATATTACGAAACTAGTAAAACTAGTGCAACGTTAGATATTACAAAAAAACTTTGTAGTGATACCATAGTAACCTTATGCAATACAACAGAATTATTTAATTATTTGATAATGTAACAAATACTCAAAAAGAAGCATCACAAAAATTGGCTATATCTGTCACTTTTAAAATAAAAATATTAACATTAAGAGAAAATGAAAAAGATTTTCAAATTCAAAAAGCTTTTGATTTCTTGCAACACCCAATGCCAAAAGAAAATTTAATATATACCTTTGGAAATTATGTGGCACAAAATCTTAATCAATAAAAAAACAATTTTGATACAAAAAATTAATTAGTTAATTTTTCATGTCAAAATGTAAAAACCAAGTGCAGAAATTAAAATGTCTCATTACAAACTAGGTCTATCATCTACATCTATACCAACTAGCTTTGAATTTTTGAATTCTACTCAATTTATTGCGCCCAATCAGTAATCAGCAGTCATATAACCACAGGTATGGAATCAGAGTTACAAGAATTTCACCAAATTAAATCCCATTTTTTTTTATATACAATATTATTAAAAATACCAATGAACAATAATTATGATTACCGTATTTCTACAATAAAAAAATAAATGGAAACAGTTACATTAACTTAGTCTATTTTAGTTTACCTTTACATAATCCTTTTAAACTTCTGGAATAATCAACAAAATTATTTACTTGTAAATTTTTTCCAAACATTACAGCTAATTTAACTTTTACAGGTATGGCTTTTCTGAAATGTGTATCAATCTCTTTTATTAATGGTTCAATTATAATTGTTAAGTTCTCAAAATTATTGACAAATACACAAATAAAATTATTAAAATGTTTAGTACTTAAAGTATTTTTATCGATAAATAGTATCTTCTATAATTCTCCAAAATCTTATTGATTTTGACTTTGATAGAAATGTTTCATGTTTCATTATTTCACACAAAAACGCCTGAATTTTGTTTTGTTTCTTCTATTATTATATTTTTTTTATTTACTATTTGTATAATAATGATTGTCGCATATTTTTTGTTCTTTATAACTAACATTGCATCAGATATAATATACAGTTTAGTTATTATTTATAATAATTTCTGAACACATTAGAACGATGTTACGATGCGAAATACCCATAGGCCATAAGCAATGGGCCATGATCGAAACAAGTACACAACCACACTACATTAGAGAATAGAGAGTGCGTGTGTAGTGGACTGTGGATGTGGAATATATTGAAAATATTTGTGTAAGCTGTTAATTATTATGTGGCGAACACGTTCACACATGCGCATATATATTGTACCACGACCAAATTTACGCCTAATACGACGCACAAGTGCACAACGTAAATTTATACTTATGAGTTATGACTTATGGCAGAATCAGATTAATTTTTTATACAAAAAATTGAAAAGACCTAGAGTGGATCTATATTCGATTGTTATTTGTTGCAGTTAAAAGGAACATTTTTTGAAAAACTATTTATATTTTTACCACAATCTGCAACTTAAAAAGGGATTTTTTTTTTCAAAAGTATATATAAATTGGTAATACTCATAAAATTATCATCGTTGATTTTACTTATCATAAAAATGTAATTATTATTTTGTCAAAACTTTCTAAATGTTTTCGTTTAACTATAATCTTTAATTCCCTAATTTTCAACGTACCGTTCTAGCAATTTTTAATGTTTTATATTGAGAAACAACTCTTACATTAATATTTTTTTTTCCATTAACCTATTTTGTTAATTTGTAATTCAATGAAATTGGACTATTGAAGTAAGTTAATCAAACTTATAATGTTTTCATTTAACTATTTATTATTTGATAAATTTTTTATCTTTACTTTAACGTTTTCTTTAACGATTTTTTAAAATAAATTCTATTTTAGAATGGACCAAGAAGACTTTACCGCTGACCTATGTGCCGAACAGATTGGCAAATTATTTCAATTTCAGGATCTTACTGGTATTGAAAGTTTGCCTACATGTCGAGATGTACTACAAAGACACCATTGGGATATAGAGTCTGCAGTTCAAGATCAGTTAAATCTAAGAGAAGGTCGCCCATCTGTATTTGCTGGTACATCAGAAACATCATCGGCTCCAACAGTTTTAGTTGATCCGACCAGGCAACAAATATTTAATCCAGAGACTTCTGGAACTGGAAATTTTTTATCATTTGTATTAGATTACATATTGAGAACATTTTACAACACATTTGTATCAGTGGTACGATTTACTTGGAGTTTAGTTTGGCCAGAACCTCGACCTCCAATTACAGACCCTGTTGCTGATGTTGGAAAATTTATTGAAAACTATGAGTCAGTATATGGAAGTGAACATCCAGTTTATTATAGAGGATCATATAAGCAAGCATTAAATGATGCTAAACAAGAATTGAGATTTCTTGTTATTTATTTACATCAAAATGATCAATCCGATTGTTCTAATTTTTGTTCAACTGTATTGCCAAATAGCAACGTTATTTCTTTCCTAAATGAAAGTAACATATTATTTTGGGCTTGTGAACAAGATTTGAATGAAGGTAATAGAGTTGCTACTGCTCTTCAGGCCAATGTGTATCCATATGTGGCTGTAGTTGTACTGAGAGAAAGTCGAATGACCTTAGTTGGACGAATGGAAGGGCCTGTGTCACCTGAAGAATTTATTAGAAGATTGCGGTCAGTATTTGAA